ATTAGAAGCAATAATAGGAGGTTGATGTTTGTTTACAGGGTAGACTCTTCCCAATAGGAACTTAAATACATCACCGTTGCTAAAATGATGGACCCATTCTAAATGCTATATTCAACACAGTAAGTGCGCCAACATCCATTCAGAGTCTTGTGGAACATTTATGATTTGACATAAAAATTTGTGGCCTCTACCCTACTTCATTAGGTGCTTTGATTTTGAATTCCTGCATGGCAGGGGTTGGACTGGATGGCCCTTGTGATTCTATGATGAGATGTTGTATGCTAGCGTCAACACAAGCTTATCCCCAAATACTCTTGTTAGTCTTCAAGGTGCCGCAAGAGTCTGTAATGCCTTTGCTGCTGCAGTCCAAGCTGGCTAGCCATCCCACTGATAATTGTGATATCTATTGTGAGCCATGCAGTATTGCCAAAAACATTCTAAGTGCAACATATAGTCTCTTGGGAAAATCAATAAAGAAGATATTCCCGAAAACCCACACATAGTTGAGATGACCCACTGATTATAGTGGTGTTACTCCCTGGTTTGTTGCAAGCAGTTGACAAAACACAGTGTGCTCACAAGGCTTGTGAAGACCCGAATGAGGGCTTGGCTTTTTAAAATAAAAGTTGTCTGGCCAGCTAAGCCAGTAATATTTCTTAGTCTTCAGCTGGCTGTGAAACTGATGACACAGCTTGTTGCTGTCTGGAAGTTCTTCAAGTGTGTCTTTGCAGAGCTTGGAAAAGTTACTTTGTGGACTACAACTCCCTGAGGCTACCCGGTGGCATCCCCACACCTGGTGTCACCCCATAGGGGTGCTGGTGGGGGGCAGGGGTAGGGGCGGCAGCAACGGCAACCAAAATGATGCACTTGGTCCTCTCATTCACTCTGGCAGCCGAGGCCTCTGTCACCATGGCAAAGCCAGGAGGAACACAGTGGGAGGAGGGCCAACTGGGTGTCACTCCTCTTTTGGGGAGTCAATTGGTGCAGACCACATCCCCTGCACACTCATTTCAGAAGGGTCTGGAA